TAAAAGAATCTGGCCAAGTTTGGTAAAAAAAATAAATGTCAAAGAGCATTTAGAAGTATATATATATATACATATATATATACAGACATGCCATCATGGCTATGACGAAAGCAATTATATAGTAGTAATCAAACGTATGCAGAGAAATGGCGTGTCTTAGCTAAATGGGAAAAGGTGTTATGGGATTATCAGTGTGAATTATTATATTAAGCAACTTACAGTTCTGATTCTATGGAGCTCGACATCTGTGGAACTGGTCTACTAGACACCAGCCAAGAAGTGACAACCAGACGTTGAATAGTCTGTATCAGCGTAGACTGCAGACGTAAATGACGCTCTTGAAAATCAGGCAAACCTAGCGAGCTTAAAACTTCAAAATCGGCAACATTAGTCTGGATGACACGGGAAAATCTATTTTCAGGAGATGCCACAAATTGATTGAAGCAGTGCCTAGCTTGCCAGCGAAGCAATACTAAGAGGCAGATGGTGAGACGCAGGCGGGATTGAACCACGCTGGCGCAGCACTGGCTAATAATTTCTGAATACAACCAAGAGGCTATATGAGATGAATTGGAAACTGGTTGCTTGTCTAGGAGAGTTTTATTAGCAGAATTAAAAATATTAACGGAAGCTGGGAATTTATCAACTAGAGAAAGCTGATCTGATGGAGTGACAACTAGACGACCGTCTAAAGAGTTAAGGTCGATAACAGCGGCCAGATCACAAGCACGAATGAGTGGGGGACCTGGGTCGATCGGATGGACGCCAGATGTTGAACTATTAGATAGTGAAAAAGGAAGTATTTTTCAGATTAGCATATTTTAGCGTGAAATAATTGCAAGACAAAGAATAACCTTTGACAATTTAATGTGCAATATAAAAGCATAACATGTTGGAAATGTGATATCTATTAGAAGAAATAGGTGCAATATAAATTGGTCGATAATTTTAGCAGAATAGTCTACAAGCACCTCAAAATAGCAATGGGACTCAAGTTTGACATGATGAAATTTCCAGTTATCAGACTTAATAGTTCTTCAGAATGACTTCTA